GAGAGGGGAAGGGGGGACTCTTTGGACCCCCTGCACCCCCAAGCAGAGAATAAGGGGAGGAGGGACCATGGGAATCCAAAAAAACCCATCTTTCCTAAATGAGGAGATGGAAATGGGAGGAAGTTTTTGGATTTCTGGCACTCCCAGCAACCTGGGGTGGGCAGGGACAGACAGAGCAGACAGGGGACCCCCAGTACAAGCGTGACCTGCAGCAGCTGGGACAGGGAGGAACCCCTGAACAGCAAAGGGGAGAGAACAGAGATGGGGAACTTCTGGGAGGCATTTTCAGGGCTGCATCTTGGTGTTTGGGACGTTTTTATGGACCCCATATGCCCGGTGACTTCTAGAGATGAACTTGAGTCAAGGGACTTTCAAACTGAAGATACTCTTCTCCCGTTTTACCTAAACCAGGATTTCCTATTCCCAAACCTTGGTCAGATGGAGAAGGAGGCTGTGAGGAAGAGGAAGATGCCCCAGGACACCCAGGCAGGTGAGGAGGAAGTCAGTGCCCCTTTCCCCCTCTCTCCTGCTCCATCTCCCAGCCCAGCCTGGCCCCCGGCTGCAGGACAACCCCACTGCCAACGCCGTCCTGCCGGGGACGCACTGAGGGGATCTCCTTCCCCTTCCCTCTGGCACGGAGGCAAATCCCATCCTCTCCTTGTCCTTCCTCCCCCAGACAAGGAGCTGAGGATGGAGACCAGGGAGGACAAATCTCCACAGCAGAACCTGGTGGAAGAAGCCTTTTTGAGCAGCTCCACAGTGCAGGAATCCAATGGGGAGGAAAAGCTCCGGAGATCCCGCAGGAGGAGGGGCTCCAAACCCAGCCCAGGGTGCTCTGAGGAGGAAAGACCCACCCTGTGCCGGGAAGGTGGCCGGAGATCCAGCCGGGGCTCTGAGCTGGTGGTCCATGAGCAGCTTCAGGATGGGGAGAAGCGCTACAAGTGCTTGGAGTGTGGGAAGGGCTTCAGCTGCAGCTCCGAACTCATCCGTCACCAGCGCATTCACACTGGGGAGAGGCCCTACGAGTGTCCTGAGTGTGGGAAGAGGTTTCAGACCAGCTCCCATCTCCTCGAGCATCAGCGAATTCACACGGATGAGAGGCCCTTCCACTGCCCCGACTGTGGGGAGGGCTTCAAGCACAACTGCAACCTCATCAGGCACCGGCGCATCCACACTGGAGAGAGGCCCTACGAGTGTGGGGAATGTGGGAAGAGCTTCAGCCGGAGCTCCAGCCTGATCTGTCACCAGAGGACCCACACTGGGGAACGGTCCTACAAGTGTGGGGAGTGTGGGATGACCTTCATCCGGAGGTCCCAAATGACCATCCACCAGATGATCCACACTGGGGAGAGGCCCTATGAGTGTCCCGAGTGTGGGAAGGGGTTTCAGACCAGCTCCAATCTCCTCCTGCACCAGCGGATTCACACGGATGAGAGGCCCTTCCGCTGCCCTGAGTGCAGGAAGGGCTTCAAGCAGAACTCCAACCTCATCAGGCACCGGCGCATCCACACTGGGGAGAGGCCCTACGAGTGTCCCCAGTGTGGGAAGAGCTTCACCCAGAGCTCTCACTTGACCAGACACCAACGGAGGCACCGGTAAGGGAAGCCCTGCGAGTGCCCCAAGTGGAGGAAGAGCTTCGTGTGCTGCCCCAGCTCCATCCCCCATCAGAGGACCCACGTTGGGCAGGACCTGATGACCCACGTTCCCAGTGATCTGTGTTGGCAACACACTGGGCTGGTGGTCATTCTAGTTTGGTTCTATCTTTTGATTCATTTGCATTCCTGGAAAACAGACAAAACGGGCAAAATCTATGACTTCATCAAAGGCATCTAAAGCATCACTTTTCACTAGTGCTTTAAGGGAATCTGGGATTCAAGGAGATACTTGGGAGTATTTGGGGATTTTGGGAATATTTGGTGGAGTTGTCTCCATTTCTTGGCACTCAAAGAGCCTAGAGGCTTTGATCTGTCACCTCAAAACCACTCAATGCCACTGAAAACTACTCAGTCCCACCCAAAATTACTGGATTCCACAGCCACTCAGGATGTGATGTCTTAAGTTTTAGCTTTCATATTTTTCATATTCTGCACTGTCCAGGTTTGTAGTTTTGAACTTCATATTAAGTCTTAGTGAGCTCTCTTCACAGAGTAGGTAGACAAAACAATTCCTTTTCTAGCTTGATACCAAGGACAATTGTTACAAGTTTCAGGCCCAAAAGCATAAACAAGGGTAGACTGAAGAGAGAAAACAAGAAGGATGGGACTTGATCATCTGAAGCTGCAATTGGACAATGAACCCAAATATGCAGATGGACCTAAACTTCTAAAAATGTGAGACCTCATGATCAGTTGTCCATTTTTTTGACCATTTTTGGTCCATCTTGGTGTAGCCCTGGCCAGGCTCTTGTGCTGCTCTAGATGTATCATTTAAGGCCCTTTAATAAACTTTATTCTTAACTTTGGCCTCTGTTCTAGGTCAGCCTTCTGAAGGCATCAGGTGGAATGGGGTTGGAAGGGGATTGGGTGAAGTGGGATGCAGATCAGGAGGGGTGAGATGAGGATTGGGAGGTGTGAAATTGGGGAAATCGGGATTGGGAAGTGGGTCTTGATGTCCAGCAGGGATGGGATGGGTTAGGGTTGGGGAGGTGGGGTGGGGTCTGGAGTGAGACAGCCGAAGTTTGGGGGTGATGAATGGAGGGGGTGCCTGTTACTGAGTGAGGTTTTGTGTGAGGTGCCTCTGCCCAGGGAGGCAAAGATTGAGTTTCAAATGAACAGTGTTAAAGTGAGTGGCATGGGCAAGAGGGAATTCCATCCCTCTGCCTCAGAGGTTGGGCCCTGTGAGCCCAGGAAGAAGCCACCCTGGACCCCTCGTGGGGTGGCAGCCCAGGGATTTCTGATTGGGTTTGGGCCCCTGGGGTTTCTCCCTTGCTGTGTCCCCAGTGGTCCCTGACCTTGAACTCCACTCTGGTTCTCAAACCCCATTTCCCTGCCTCTGTTCGGGGCTGTCTCTGGATCTGAGTTTGTTCCTGAGCTGAATAAATGGTTTCCTAAGTAGAATCCCATCTTGTTGGTGTCCCATGCCTGTTCCTTGTAAATGTGGTCTCTCTGGACATGATCCTGTGGCCCTGGAATGCAAGACCCCACAAACTCGAGACCCCCCCCCAAGACCCCCCAAAATCCCAGAATTCCCTAAAATTTGCCCAAATACTCCAAATTTCCCTTAATTTCCGTAAAATGCCTTTTCTGTCCCCTCCTGGACCAGGTGCCTCTGCTGGATCTCGGAGACGCCCCCAGGAATTTCGAGGGGGTCTCTCCTCCCCTGCCACCCCAAAAAAACTATGGCTTTTGGGAAAGAAAATTCCCCAAAATCCTTTGGATTCAAGGGGGAGTTCCTCCATTTTTAATGCGTTTTTTGGGTGTTCCCCCCGAATTTTTTTTTTTTTTCCTTTTTTTTTCCTTTTTGATGGTTTTGGCATTTTTCGAAGTGAGCTTTTGGGGGGGGTTCCCCCAGTTTTTTTTTTGGGCGTCCCTCAATTTTTTTTCTGGGGGTTCACCCTCTCCCTCAATATTTCCTCTGTCCTCCTCCCCCCAAATTGGGGTGAGAGAGTTTTGGTTTTTTTTTCTGTTTTTTCTTTAATTTTTACCTTTCCCCCCCCCCCTTTTTTTTTTCTTTTTTCCTCTTTTTATTTATTTGCACTTAATTTAGGGTGCTGAGGGGCAGGAATTTTGGGTTGGGGTTGCCTTGGGGGACAGGAAAAGTTGGGGAGACCTCCCTCCCTGAAAAAACGGGAAAAATCCTGGGAATTCTGGTATTTCTCCCCCCACCCAAGGTGTGAAAAATGTGAAAAAAATTATGTTCTCAGATTTTTGTTGATTTTGGGGGAGAGTGTTGCAATTTTGGTGGGGGTTTTGGGAAGGGTTGCTGTTTTTGGGGGGGTTCTCCCAGGTTTTGGGGTGGAATTGGAGAAATTTTAGGGTTTGGGGGGAAATTTGGGGGTTTGGGGGGAAACTTTGTAGGTGCTGGGGGAAATTTTGGGCTTTTAGGGCAGGAATTTTAGGATTTTTTTCTAACATTTGTGTGTTTGGGGGGAAATTTGGGGCTTTGGGGGCAACTTTGGGGTTTTTAGGGAGAGGATTTGGGGTTTGGAGAAAAAAAATGGGGTTTTGGGGGGAAAAATTTGGTGGTTTTGGGGGGAAATTCAGGGGTCCTGGATGAGTTCTGATTTTGGGAAAGGGGATTTGGGGAGGATTTTTTGTGTTTTGGGGGAATTTCCATTGATGGGGAGGCGTCCTGATCCCAGTGAGGAGGGGCATTTTGAAGAGGCCTGAATTTGGGGAGGGCTCTCAGGGAGGATTCCCGATTTTGGAGTAGGATTTGGAGAGGATTTTGCAGCGAAGGGGATGTGCCTTGGGGGTGGGATTTGGGGAGGGGTCTCATTGGGGCACCATCCTGAGCTGGAAGTGGGGGGGGTGTTGGGAGTGGAATTTGGGGAGCGTAATAAATGGAAATGATTCGTGCTAACTAAATAGTAACTATTGGGAAAGTTATTATTTGAAGCAATCAAGGGAATTGGTGTTACAAGGCAGATGTACCCCTTTAGAGATGTTACGTGTTGAAACTAAAGAACATGATGTAGTTTTGAGGTAAGTGATGTCCCAAGACAAAATCAACCTTGAGATGGATAAAGCTGGAACAACTTTAGGCATAGGGCCTGAAAATTATGAAGTGTAAGACTAATTAGTGGAGCACAATGCTCACTTACGTAACACAACACTTAGTACACACGCACAGCCTGTAAGGTTATCCAGAGGACAATGAGGATGAGTGTAAGCCTTCATCCAAAATACCACTGAAAGGAGACTGAAGACCTCCTAGCAACAAGTGAGGCTTGCGCCATGAAGAATAGTGATGTAAAATTAAAGAATCCAAAATAGGAGGAGACTTAGGGGAAACATTAATGAATATGTATAAGCATCCAGTATATAAGTTTAGTTTGAATTACTTTGTTTTGGTATGAGAGGCAGGGTGAGAAGCCCTGGCCATACCCCAGTCAGTTTTGCTTATGCTTTAATCATACTCAGTTACTGGCAAATTATATTCACACACACACACACACACACACACACACACACATATATATATATATATTTATGAAGATATTCACTAAATTGTACTCTTTTACTGAATTGTTTTCCTTTTACACCAAATTTCTATTCAATCCACTAAATAGTATTATTTTATTAAATTGTGTCCTTGTATTCAATTCACTAAATTGTATAATTTTTTCCCTTGTTATTTAATTGCTGTTAACTCAATAGATCTAGTTGTCTGATTTTAATTTCATTTACAACAGCACCAAGAAGGGCCTTGCTGAGAGCAAGCAAACTTAATCCTCTGCCAGGACACAAATTTAGAGAGCAAAAAATTAATAAAACCCACAGCATCAGCCCAGCTTCCCAGTGAGAAGGGTTGGAACTCTCTGCCCCTCCACACTTCCCCAGCAGGTTTACAAAGGTAACTGGGGTCTAAGCTGTGCCCTCTGAATCAACAGAGCCAGCCTCCCTTCAGGGTGAGAAGCCACGGCCTCAGTTATAGCCCCGGGTGCCTCGTGTGCCCCAGAGAATGGCCATGGCTGTAAATGTGTGTTTGGCTGCAGCACAGGGCCAGGGTGAAGCTCGGCAGCCTCATCAGAGCCCACGGCCACGGCCCTTCCCTGCCGGGGCCCTCACCTGCCCAGCCCAGCCCGAGCAGCCCGGACTGGCCTCAAGGGATGGGCTCTGCCTGCCCAATGTGCCCACAGGCCAGGCCCAAGGGCTCACAAGAGGATTCCTCCCAGCTTTGCAAAACCTCAGCCAAGGGTGACCCCTTTACTGTGCTGAGAAGAGGAAAAAACCCTCTCAATTTAACCCCACTGCACACCTCATGGGGGATCCCTGCACACCTTAGCAGAGAGCCCAAATTAGCCCTGGGTGCCTCATGAGGTGCAGGCCCAGGTGATGCCACTGAAGGAAATGTGCCCTCACAGCCCAGGGACGCTCAGCATGGGCTCCCCCAGCCCCTCGTGGCCCCACCACTGGTCATGGCAGCCCCTGCCTGGCTCCTGCCTGCCCACACTGTGGGCACACCCGGCTGCTCCTGGACATGGAGCTCAGCAGGGGCTGGTGCCATGAGGGCTTTGCTGGTGGTACCAGCCAGACACTGAGATGAAAGCTCCATCTCTTTATTTGAACAAAAACCATGGGCCAAGCCCTGCTCTGGTGGACAGGGGCTGCCCAATTTCAGTCCTGGCCAGGGACCAGGGCCAGGGGGCTCAGGGGTAGAGGCTCTCACTTTGCAGGTGTGGGTCTTGGGATGCCCTCAAGACAGGGAT